GTTGTTTACCTGTCAGGTTGTTTACCTGTCAGGTTGTTTACCTGTCAGGTTGTTTACCTGTCAGGTTGTTTACCTGTCGGGGGTTGTCAAAGTTTTACCTGTAAACCCTCTGATCCTTCAGTCGTACAGGAAATAAATCCTGTCTGATTTTGGTTCATTAAAAAAAAAAACATGTATGTTTCCAGTCAGAGTCTTTTAATCTGAAAGGTTACTTTAGACAGGAAGTTGATAAACCGACCCGGTTCCGACACAAAGAGGGAAGGTCCAGCTGGACGTTTGGGTCCAGAAGGATTCAGGTTCTGGTCCCTGCTCCAAGTGGGTCACCCAGTTCTGCTGCGGCCTCAGGGTGACCCAGATCGATACGCAGTCAGAACTTGTGTGAAGTTCTGGAGTTAAACTGATTTAATAAAAGATTCAGACAGTTTGAGGGCAGTGATTTTATTAATCTCAGCATATAATCCAGATTATACAACAATCTAATATCTGAGGGATCTGACATTCATGATCTCAATTAAATATGAAAATATTACCAAATTATAGAATTAAAACATTTAAATTCAGTTTTTCTTTTGTTAAACAGATTGTTGTTGTTTTTTTTACTGGAGCTGATTTAAAATACAGAAATGATTAAAACAGATTTTAATCCCTCAGAAAATAAACATTAACAGAAACAAATTCTAGATTAAAAATCTCTCAATTTTTCCTCTTTTATGTTTTTATTAAAAATGTAAAACAGTTTGAGTTGAACAGAAAGTTTAGTGTAAAAGTTTTCATATTAAACAGTAAAAATACCTGATCGAAGTACAAACCATGAGTATAACGAGTATTACATCAATATGTACAAACAGCATCGTGTTTTTTTTAAATAATCAGCTTATATGAAGCAGTGAGATTAGAAACATTCATGGCTTTGTTTCCACAGATTAATGAAAAGGKCAGGTTTAGATTAGGATCTCAGGAATAATCAGGTAAAACACCTGGACTCAGGAAGTTTGGTTCACGTTCAGCTGATCTGAGATTAAAGCTTTCATCAGATTAGAAAGTTTGAGTTTACTCCAGTAGTTTAAAGCTACGCTCAAATGTAGGTCTGCACTCAATGTAAACAAAACACTGAGCATCAGCTGACTGTGTTYACTAATTTAGTTCCTTTAAAGCTTGATTTCAGATCATCAGAGGAGTAAAYATCTTACCTGTCCAGCATGTGGGAGGCAAGTTTTAAAGGGACAGTTCAGACTGAATACTTAATTCTTGTTGATCCTGCTTTGGATTTGATTTTAAAAATACATTCTTGATAATCTCAAAGTTTTATTTTTTATTCTCTGATTCTTCACCACAGGAAGAGACTCAGTTTCTGACAGGATGAAACATCCGGTGGTTTTAGGAACTTCCTGTTCGTCTCTTTAGCGTCCGTTGTAGATAAAATCTGGGGAGAAAAAAAAACAAAATTAAATAAACAGAACTGTGTGAAACTGAGTAACAGGAAGTGGAAGTATGAGTAACAGGAGGTGGACTTCTGAGTAACAGGAAGTGGAAGTATGAGTAACAGGAGGTGGACTTCTGAGTAACAGGAAG